CTCTGAATTCCTAAACACCAAGCTAACTATACATTTGCAAAAGGAGTTGGAACTGTGAGGTCTTCTTAATATTACACAGCAGCTTCCAGCAATCCTCACTACTGCTTATTTTGGTTAGGAAGAGTGGGAGCTGTGGTCCAACTGCATCTGGAGGTCTGCAAGCGATCCCACTCCTGACTCAGAGGAAGACTATTACATAAACGGTCACTGCTAGTATTGTGGGTGTCTTCCTAACCTGTGGCAAGTGGTAATGTAAACACAAACAGTGACACAAGTGCCCATGAGACTGATAGCTGTGCAAAGATGTGTCTGAAACAATGACACAAATTTCCTCTGGTCACACTGCCCAACAAAAGAAATAAAACAAAAGCATGTCACATTTTTGTTAGTTGTTAATTTGTTGCCATCTAATTGTTTATCCAAAGAAAAATTAAAATGATCACTGCATTAATGAAAGCACAAGAATATGGACAGGATTACTGTAGTGGTTGTCTGGCCTTGCTGGCAAATGTTAAATAGTACCTCCTTGTGCATGCACACATATACAGTGTCATGATCAGGATGTAACGCTCCTGGGACCTGATAGTATTGTGCATAGACTGGATCTGCACTGCTGCTGGGTGGCAACAGTGTTGAGCGCTAGCCTAAATATCAATAGTGTTCAAGTCCAATGTTGAAGAGCTACCACAGGCAGTAGGTTTAGAGTCTGCACGAAAAGGCAACAAACTCTTTGTAATCTACCTATGTTTTACACGCAGAAAGGTGGAGAGGTCATTGTGCAGTTTTATACCTTGGGTGAGAATACAATGCACCTTGAGTGATGGGCTGGGTGGGCAGTGACACATTATTTGTTGCTCTGCCACAACTGCAGCAGAAACTCTTATAGGTATGGTGGCACTATATGCCTTTTGCTTCTATAAGTTTTTTGTGGAAGAGACATTTCCTACTTATTCCAGCTTCACCACTGTGCTCCACCTCCACACTCCATCCCTACTGCTAAGATGCTGTGGCTGGCCACTCGCCCACTCTTGATCTTGGGCTCCAAACCCACAGTGCTTACCAATGCCTTCATGCTGCTGCCAAGATCCACTGCCTAGGCCTTTCTTTCAACTGATTCACTCCATCCATCCTTTATTTACCTCAGTTGCCCCCTCAATCAGCAGACGTCAATGTTTCAAGATGCCAAATGGCAGGGAAAGAGAATATATATAATGAAGTAAAACATCAGGTGCTACTTTAGCAATCAACTCAGCCAAATTAAGACTTTTTAATTTTCAGGACTTTGGCCCTCTAAATCAACTTGACACCATTATCTAACTATGGAAAAGTGCGATGGAAAAATGTGGATGCCTTTTGGCCACTAAGATTTGGTTTCAGGACGCCACTCCCACCTAAATCCATGGATGTTCAACTTCCATTATGAACCAGAGGACACAGTAAAATGGTGTGGCAAAATGGTCTCTCATATATAAAGTGGCAAATTTAATGTTTGCTTTTTACATTTGGGGGTGGGAATATTTTCAAGTCATGGATAGTTAAATCCATGAACATAGTATCTGTGAATATAGAGGGCTGACTATAGTACTTTTAAGCTGTCCTTACATACCTCCCTTGGAGTGGGAGCTGCTTCTGGATTAAGATGTATAAGGTTGGACTGTTAATTTACAATTGAAAATTCTGTGAGATAGAAAAGGTTTCCACAGCATTGAATAAAATTGGCTTAAAAGTAAATTGCTTTCTCCTCAGGACAATAGCTCTTCTGGGGCTCTGGCAACTCAACATCCCCACCAAACCATAAGGAACCATGCTTCCTCTTTCTTCACAACTTCAAACTCCAGGGAAATCAAGACACAGCACCTATTCATAAAATACCTCAGTTTCACACCACACCACTATCTGGATGCTTTCGCTCAGCGTGTGCCTCCAGTTTTTAAAAAATGTTGCTTTAGAAAAACTCACTGTAATCTCAAACAACCAAGACAATAGGATCACTGTGGGTTTTTGTTAATGGTTCAGGCATCGGAGATGAGGGGAAAATGGCAATCATAACTTAAACAATTTAACAACTGCAGTTAGAGATCTGGATCCATATATTTTAAAAGGCCACAGATGTAAGGGTTGGAGGATAATGGCTATGTGATCATGGCCATTTGCTTCATCTGAAGGCCTCCTTCTTCACATAGCCTTTGAAGGTGCCACCAATTTCAGGAGATTCATTTCTAAATAGCTCAAGAGTATAGTGAACCCTTTATAGCAGTTAGTTATTAGAAACCACAAAGTTGGTACCAATTGGACATTCCAAGCTACACTCTATTTGACAGGAGCCCCCAGTGGCAGCCCTTGTGCCAGCAGGACTGCCGACCAAAAGGTTGGTGGTTCAAATCTGGGGAGCAGGGTGAGCTTCCATATGTCAGCTCCAGCTTCTCACACAGGGATATGAGAGAAGTCTCCCACAGGATGGTAAAACATCTGGGTATGCCCTGGGCAACATCCTTGCAGATGGCCAATTCTCTCACACCAGAAGTGACTTGCAGTTTCTCAAGTCGCTCCTGACATGAAACAAACAAACAAACAAACAAAAACAAAACAAAACTCTATTTTGAAAGTGAAAGTGTGCTATTTGATTTGGGATAGCATGGCATCCTCAGGCACCACTGATAATACATGTTAGCAGACGGTGTGTTTCCACTTAACAAACACATAGCCGATCAAAAACAAAATGCAGCAAGACACCTATTCTGTGAAATGAATGTTTGACACCACTCCCAGTCCTGCAAAGTATTTTGGGAGTCCCGCATAGCCTTTTACTACATACAAAACAGTTATGACGACAGGGATTCCCCTTTCCTGCTCCCTCCTGAATGATCACAGTTGACAGGATCATTGAGCACAGCCCATCAGGTCTTAAGGCTCTTGGGTGCAACTTGACACGTTTCCCTTTCCTTCAGTGCCAAGGCTCAGCTCCAGAAAAAGTGGCCAAATAAGAACAAGAGAGTGTCTCTGACTACACCCTGAGCCATTCCTTCACTATGACATCTCACAGGCCACTTGATACCACTGATCTGAAGACAGGGAACCAGCGTGCTGTGAAAGCTAGCATGGCATCATGGTTTGTGTGTTGGACTTCAACCCTGGAGACTTGGATTCCAATCCCTGCTCAGCCATGGAAATCCACTTGGTGAACTTGGGCAAATCACACTCTCTCAGCCTCCAGGAAGGCAAAGGCAACCCCATTCTGAATATACCTCATGATAAGTTTGCTCTGGAGTTGGTAAAAGCTGGAAACAACCTGGAAGCCATACAACATTCCAAGACAGAGGACAGAAGGAGCCTTCTCCTTTCTGAATTCCTTGGGCCCAGCTCTTGGTGTTTTCTGCCATTTCCTGACTGCTGTACCTTCAAGGAGTCTATTCACTTATGGCAACCTCACTAATGCAATGGGTTCTCTTAGCCAAGGAGCTGGTTGGTCACTCCCTACTTCTGAAATGTAGCCTGCACTACCTGGTGGCTTCTCATCCAAGACCTAATTGGGACAGGCTCTGGTCTAGTACCTTTGGAGTACTTTGTAAAGCCAGAATCCCAATATAAAAGAAGAAAGTTGTTGAAGGCTTTCATGGCCGGAATCACTGGCTTGGTGTGAGTTTTTTGGGCTGTATGGCCATGTATTCTCTCCTGACGTTTCACCTACATTTATGGCAGGCATCCTCAGAGGTTAAGGGGTCTGTTGGAAACTAGGCAAGTGGGGTTTATATATCTGTGGAATGTCCAGGGTGGGAGAAAGAACTCTTGTGTGTTTGAGGAAAGAGTGAATGCTGCAATTGGCCACCTTAATTATCATTGAATGACCTTGCAGTCTCAAAGCCTGGCTGGTTGCTGCCTGGGGGAATCCTTTGTTGGGAGGTATTAGCTGATCCTGATTGATTCTTGTCTGGAATTCCCCTGCTTTTTTAGTGTTACTCTTTACTTATCTTTTTTTTTTAAAAAAAATCATGAACAAAATCTGGCTTCCAGAATTTAAAAAACTCTAAAATCAGGACAGTAAATAAAGAGCAACACTCAGAAAACAGGGGAATTCCAGACAAGAATCAATCAGGGCCAGCTAACACCTCCCAACCAAGGATTCCCCCAGGCAAGAAGCAGCCAGACTTTGAAGCTACAAGGCCATGAATCAAAGTGGCCAATTGCAGCATTCATATCTGCCTCAAGCAGACTCTGGACATTCCACAGATATATAAACCCCACTTGCCTAGTTTCTAACAGACCTCACTACCCCTGAGGATGCCTACCATAGATGTGGGCGAAATGTCAGGAGAGAATGCTTCAGGAACATGGCCATACAGCCTGGAAAATTCCCAGCAGCCCAAAAGAAGAAAGAGCTGTAGTGGAGGGCTCCGATCCTGGACCTTCAGTAGTCTCCCGTTTTGTTTCCTCGGTGGCCAATGGGACAACCAGCAGCAGCCTAGAGATATGAGTGAGCCCAAGTGTAGGCTCTCTCCTCCCCTCTGCCTTCCCTGACCTGCCTTCAGAGCCCAATGTGAAGCAGCTCGCTTGAGGCGACTCTTGTTTAGGGGCTCCTCCCCCTGCCCCTTCTTTTGGGGACACCAAAAGTTTCCGAAGCGGCACAGGCAGGCAGCCCTTGGCCTTCCCCGGACTTGCGCCCCTCAGCTCCGCCTCGCCATTGCAAGCCGGGAAACCGTGTTGAAGAAAGAAACCCGTCTTTTGGGGGCAACGGGACGATCCCTTGCGGGCGGGGGGGGGGAGGAGTGGTATCAGTCCCCACCCGTGAATCCTTCCCACAACAAAGAAAAGCCTCTAAAGCGGAGGAAGACCGTTTGCGCCTGAAAGGAGCGCGCCTCCCGGGCACCGAATACACGGGGACCCCCTTTTCCCTGCTTGTGGGGTGCCAGGGCGCCCGTGTTTCCGCGGCGGGGCCGTGGCAGGTGGTGCGGGGCCGAGCTTCCCCGTGGGCCGCCTTCCGCGCTCCTGCCGCCGGGTCTCACCGTGGCGTCCTCGCCGGCGTAGTGGCTGATGACGCGATGCCCGCCCGGGTGCCGCTTGACCCACTGCGAGATGTCGTAGACCTTGCGCTCCACCACCAGCCACTTGTCGGCCTGCAGGTTGTGCTTCTGGACCTCCTCCCAGGTGAACGCCGGCACCGGCGCCTCCCGCTCCCCGCCGCCACCGCCGGCGCCGCCGCCGCACTCCTCACCCTGCTCGCCGCCTTTCCCCATCGGGGAAGCCCGGCTCCTTTGTCCGCCCTGGCCTCGGCTTCTCCCACGGGTCCCGCAGGAGCGTGGCCGGCGGGGCGCGTCTCCTTCTCGCGGGCGAAAGGAAGGAGCGCCGGCTCTGCGCCTCGCGGGTTTAATTCATCCGGCGCGGCGGCACCTTCGGCCCCGGCGCCTCTTTGTGCCTTGCCCTCCCCTCCCCTCCCCACGCCACGCCCCCGACGGCTGCTCCACAGAGGAACCCCCCTCCCCTCCTCCTCCTCCTGCTGCTGTTGTTGCTGCGGCGGCGGCGGCGTCTCCCTCCTCCTCCTCCTCCTCCTCTTGGGTCCCGTAATCCCCCTCCATCCCACGCCGAGGAGCGCCGAGGAGGTCCCCCCGCTCATCAGCAGAGGCCCTCCGCCAATCGTGGCGCTCCCCTGCACCAAGAACGCCCTCTCATTGGCTGGCGGCTCTCTTTCGAAGCTGGACCAGCGCCGGAGGAGGAAGGGGGGCGGGCGGCTTTCTCTTGGCTCCCCAAAGGACCCCGGGGGACCACCAGGGGTTTGCGGGTACAGGGCGCCCCCCCCCCGCCTTCTGAGAAACCAGGGATGACGTTTGCATTGCAATAGCGGTTCCCTGTCTGGTTTTATTCCGAAGGGAGGGAGGAAGGGAGGAAGAGAGAGAGGAAGGGAGGAAGAAAGGAAGAAAGAGGAAGGGGGGAAGGAGGGAGGATGGATGGATGGATGGATGGATGGAAGGGAAGGAGATAAGGARGGAGGGAGGGAGAAAGAGAGGAAGGGAGAAGGGAGGGAGAAAAGAAGGGAGRGAGGAAAGGAACAAGAGAGGAAGAAAGGGAGGGAGGAGGGAAGAGAGGGAAAGAGGATGGAAGGGAGGGAGAAAGAGCAGAATTGAAAAGGAAGGAAGAAAAGAAGGGAGAAAGAGAGGAAGAAAGGGAGGGAGGGGGAAAAGAGAGAGGGAGGATGAGAGGGAGGGAGAAGGGAGGGAGGGGGAAGAGAGAGAGGGAGGGAGGGAGGGAGGAAAAGCGGAAGGGRGGAAGAGAGGGAGGGAGGAAGGAAGGGAGGATGGAAGGAAGAGAGGGATGGAGGATGGAAGGGAGGGAGGAAGAAAGGGAGGGTGGAAGGGAGAGATAGAGGAAGGGTGAAGCGAGAGAGAGAGTGGAAGGAAAAGAGGAAGGAAGGATGGGAGGGAGGGAGGAAGAGAGGGAAGGAGGGAGAGAGGAAGAGAAGCAGGAAGGGGGAAGAGAGAGAGGGAAGGAGGAAGAAAGGAACTCTGGCTTCTGGTACTTGGTTTAAGTGGGCATCTCCAGTGTGCAGTGAGTAATGAATGCAGCTTGGCCCCACTTGAACTGCCATGGCTCAAGGCTTGGGAATCCCGGGAGTTGTGGCTTCACTTGACAAGGTCTTTCGCCTTCTCTGCCATAGGGCTTAGATGAAGAGACTTTTACTAAGGACCCTTCCACACAATCTTACATCCTAGAATATCAAGGCAGATAATCCACAATATCTGCTTTGAACTGGATTATCCCAATCCATACTGCCATATAATCCAGTTCAAAAAAGGTTAGGACAGAAGGGAGGAGAAATTGGAGGAGTTGAAAAGAAAGCTGAAATTCCCTGCCAGTCTAAACAGCAGCATGGCAGAAGTATTAGGTAGGAAACTGAGGAGATGAATGCGGGAGAAGGTTGAAAAGGAGGACTTTATGAGCTAAAGAGAAGGGGGGGGGGTGCAGGAAGGAGGGAAGAAGGGGGGGTTGTTGTGGAGAAATAGAATGAAAGGCAGATAATCTCCAAGAGAAGGACAAAAGAAGCAGAGGTGTGGATGGAAAGAGGGAGCTTGCACGTGTATTTTAGAAAGTTAAGAACCTGTACTATAAAAGGGCCAAGCTGCACCTCAGCCTGGTGGCACCATTTTTCCTGTTGCACACCCAATAGTTTTGCTCTGTTCATATTAAATCTATTGCATTTAATCTCCTCACCTCTAGTGTCTGATTGAAACAGTGCTGGAGAAGATACCATGGACAGCTACAAAGTCAAAAAAAGTATCTTGATATCCCCTGGCACTTATTCAGGACCCCCCATGGGTCCCAAAATACTGAAGTCTCATTGTAGATAGACAATGGTATAGTAATATGGTGTCCTTATATAAAATGACAAATCCAAGGTTTGCTTTTTTAAGATGTTTTAAAAATTCTTTAATTATGGATGGTTGGCAGGAAATGGGTCCTTGAGCAAATCAAGTCTGAATGCTCCCTAGAAATCAAAGTAACTCATTTGAGGCTGCCATACGTTCACCATATCATGAGAAGGCATTACTCACTAGTACTCGTTGTAGCTTTTAGCTTTGATTATGTTTTAAGGATTTTAACTGATTTTTTTAAAATAGCATTTATATTTAATTCTATTTTAACATTTGTATATTTGTAGATTTTAAACTATACTGAATGGCTTTTAATGCAATCTGCTTTGAGTATTCTTGTTGGAGAGAAAAGCAGGGTATAAATAAACATAATAAAAATAAAGAATGATCGCCTCCTACCTTAGTAAGGTAGAAAGTGATAGGAATGGAGAAAGAGCCCATTCCAGATGGGTAAACTCAATGAAGCTACAGACCTGAGTCTGCAAATACTGAGCAGGACTGTTGGTGACAGGGTGACTACTACCCTCTCATTCATAGGATCATCATGAGTCAAAGTTGGCATGAAGGCAATTAATGATGATGATGATTTTTGTGTGTGTCAGAAGCGACTTGAAAAACTGCAAGTCGCTTCTGGTGTGAGAGAATAGACCATCTACAAGGATGTTGCCCAGGGGATCCCGGATGTTTTATCATCCTGTGGGAAGCTTCTCTCATGGCTTACATGGGAAGATGGAGCTGACAGATGGGAGCTCATCCTGCTCCCTGGATTCGAACCGCTGACTTTTTGATCAACAGTCCTGTCAGCAGAAGGGTTTAATCCAGTGGTTCTCAACCTGTGGGTCCCCAGATGTTTTAGCTCCACCTGGGGGTTGAAGAAAAAGTCACCACCGCCTTTTTTGGGGTGGCTTACAACAATAAACAAATAAAATAAATATTACATCACAGACAATAATCACATATCAATACAACAAGAACACAATAATATAAACATTAGTAAAACAAATATAAATACTATTTTTCCCTCTATTTAGCAACAACAAATTGGTTGTTGCTAAATAGTGCAAATTGGTACTAACCAAATTGGCTCTGGTTAGTACTTGGATGGAAGACTGCCAATGAATATTAGGCTCTATAAGCCATATTTCAGAGAAATAAGTAAAAAGTGTAGATTCTTGTTTTTGTGAATGGCTATATTTCAGAGGAAGGAGCTATCAAAGGCATATTTGCATATTCCCTGCCCATGAAATTCCTGTGAAATTCATGAGGTTGTCATAAGACACATATGCGCACTACAGGATCCAAGGGTGATGGGGTACTATTTTCCTATGTAAAATCAAGGCCCCCAGAATTTGCATGGATACCAAAGGATTGGGTGGCACGAGGGCTTGTGGCCTCTGATGCCCTGCCTATTGAAAGTTCTTTCCACCAGGTTCCTGGCCCTTGGATCATGGATAAGAGTGCAAGGACTCAGGCACATTGACCTGGAACTCTTTCACACCACACTGTTACTGTACTTTGATTCCATTTGTGTACAACTTTATCTGGATTGCATCCACCTGCCCTTTTAGGCCCTGTGCTGTAGAGCTTTTTTGGTTGTGTTTTGTTCCTTTCTTTTCTGTTATACAATACTTGCCTGTCCTACTGACTTGAGTTTCTTTTCTTTCTTTAAATTATAATTTGTTTTCCTCCCAGCCTGAGACCCAAAGCAGTTTACAATGTACAATAAATTAAAATGCAACTACAACAATATTTATTTGTTTTATTAAAATATTTCAGTCCCATGCTGTTTCCAAATATCTCAGAGGAAAATATAAGTGGAATCAATGCGAACAGGTTAAAACAACAATAATTAGGGCTAAAAACATATTAGACACATTAACAAGTTAAAGCAGGTTATAAAGATTAGTTTTAAAGCCATGTGCATAGCATTTGAAGTAAATCAGTGAGACCCAAAGCCTTTAATACATATTAGTGAATTTACTTGGCACTTAAATTAACCCAGCATTGGCACTAATCAGGACTCCGAGAGGAGGATATTCCTCACAGTTGAGAAAGCCCATTCCCCTGTCCTCAAGTAATCTATGACTCTCACTGGTCTCACTGGTGGAATACAGAGAAGCCCCAACACAAAAGACTGCAATACTCTGGCACATTTAGGACAAGGTATATAACACAGCATTTTTGTAAAAAACAAAACAAAACCTAAACCATCTAATAAAAACCGGAATGATATAGTGCTTTATCTTCAGATTGCAATTCCAGTGCCAATTAATAAACCAGAATTATCCCATTGCCAGGTGTTTTGTTCTGGCTGTGCCTGTATGTACAAGTGAGAGGTCAATTAATATATCCCAAAGTAATTAACTCTAGTCATCCCTTATCTTTCTCAGCTTAACATTTTTCCTCAAGCGCTTGATATGTGCAGATAACTTAACTTGCATTAGTAGCATTGAATCCTTGCTGTAAGCCGGTCTGAGTCCCTCTACGGAGGTGAGAAGATCGGGATATAAAAGTTTTAAATAAATAAATAATTGCATGACACAAATCGATGACATTTGTATGCTTCCCCATTTTCTGAGTACCATCTAGATATCGATGGAAAACTGTGTTGATGAATATTTTGAGGAAGGGAGTGAGGGAAATGGAAGTGGCTATTGGTGAAAATAAGTTAGGTTCTAGACCAGACATGGGCAAACTTTAGCCCTCCCAGAGTTTTGGACTTCAACTCCCACAATTCCTAATAGCCAGTAAGCTCACTGGGATTTCTGGGAGTTGAAGTCTAAAACACCTGGAGGACCTAAGTTTGTCCATGCCTGTTCTAGACCCTGTTGACAAATGCATTATCTATCATCACTATGAGGGTAGTATCCAACCATTGAGTTCATAAATGTAGCCTTATTTTCCATCATCATTTTATCTGGTGGATGAAAAAGAAAGTATGGAATACTCTTGGAAATTGAGAAGATGTTTTCATATTTTTGTTTTGCATTTTTGGACTTTGGGAACTGATTTTGATGTGACTTTGGCAGGAAAATTGTGCTAGTGGTCTGCTCGGGAAACTTC